TATATGCATTATATAATTTTTTTATATATATATATATTAAACTGGCTGACAACTAAATTATGAAACAATTCTGATAATCTCACTTCTATTCTCAAAAATGAGAAAGGTCATTAAGGGCAGTTTTACTAACATTTGCTATGGTCAGCAGGAGAATCAAGATAAACTCTCTATAGGTACTGAACTAGCAGGGGGTCTACTTCCTATAGTGTTCTGAAGGCTGCCAGTTTCTATACTGTTCTGTAACAAAGAACTTAGTCCTCTAACCCTATCCACAAACGCTTCCCTCCAACCTTCTGCCCCACCCTACTGTAGCTTTGTGGGTGCAGAAAGTGGAATACCATTAATTCACGCATTGTTTTATTCTCAAAATAGTACAAGTCCCATTTTTACCTCACACCCCCAACCAAACTCCGAGTTCTAGAATTCCCTATTTAATTATATATTTTGTTTCTCTATAAATGCTGTCCTGAAAACCTTGAACCTTTGTATTGGATCTGGCCGGGATGGAGTTAATATTTTTCATAGCAGCCCCTATGGTGCTTTGCTTTAGATCTCTGACCAAAACACTGTTGATGACACACCAACGTTTTAGCTATTGCTGAGCAGTGCCTGCACAGCGTCAAGGCCGCCTCTGTTTCTCATTCTGCCCCGACACAGAGTAAGTTCAGGGTCGACAAGAGGCTGGGAGGGGACATAGCCAGTACAGCTGACCTGAACTGACCGTGCCATATAGCATTGTCTTCAGCAACAAAACTGGTGGGCGTGGAGAACAGACTTTTTCTAAACTAGACCCTGCTTGGAGACTCGTGGGGCATCAGTCTGCTGGTGGATCCTTCCTTTCTTTCCTTAACTTATCGAACTGTCATCTCAACCCATGAGTTCTTCCTCGCTTTTACCCTTCCCATTCCCTCCTCCATTCCGCTGGGATGGAGTGAGAGTGTGACTGGGAGGGAGCTCAGCTGCTGGCTAGGATCAACCTCCCCCACCGTTATCTGGAAGTTGACATCACTACTGAACCACTCATGGTACAGCAAGAATGGAAGCTGTTACTTTACTGAAAAGAAAGAGTAGGCAGGAATCACTGCAGGAAGTTACTCTGAGATTACAAGCTACTGCTCATTATCTGTGCTAGGAAAATTGCTACCATGCAAGATAAATTCGTGGCACTAAAAATGCAAAGAATACCATTCCTTTTACTGAGGGATGAGCTACCAAGGAACAACTGAGGCATAGTAATTTATTAGCCTACAACAATTATGTCTGTAGCTAGCGTGCAACATTAACCAGATAGATTGCTTTACAGTCCACACAGAGTTCAAATAGTGCGGATCTGTTCTAATAAATCTAAGTAAGTCCATCTTTTATAACTGTTTTATCTGGTGTAAAACTTGTTTGAAACAGTTTGCACAAGATGACTTTGCCATTTGTGGAGTATTCAAGGAAAATGCATAAACAGACTTTTTTATCACCTCATGTATCAGAAATGGTTAGAGCAACCCTTCCTTCTGCATCACGCTATTGAGCTTCAATACACATACAAGTTCAATCCTTACAAATTTCATTTTTTGCATGATACACCACATGTAGCCCTGACCTGAATGTAACCCCATCACAAATCTACTCACATTCTATATGCACATAAACTTCAACATATATCTAAAAAAATAACTTAAAGAAAGGATTGGTCTATTTGTAAAATTTACAAACCTGTGCAAAAATCTTTACTAGCCGTACGTTGTGCGTAGGCCTTATCTGTAGGTACTCTCTCCACCACTGTTTAGCATATACAAGAAATAATCGTTCTTTTTCTGCTGTTTTCTGACGTTCCAAAGCAAACTGCAGGTAAGAAAAGCATAACCAATCACACACATATTAACTCCAAACAAGAAAAAAACCCATAATCAATAAGTACATTAACACCATATTGGGCCTATGTAAAATAAAGCTTAATATTTTAAGTATGCCATGCAAATGCTGAAGAATAGTATTTTTAAATGAAAATCCAATGAACAAAACCCTCAAGTTACATTTTCTGGTTTGTAGGCTCATATATCAAGCTTGACTGAAGTAGTGTTCATAAGTGATGCATTTCTGTACAGAAGGATTGCTCAGCTTTTGATGTGCAGAAGAATATCTACATGCAAGGCCAATATTTACTGACTTTCCAGGCAGAGTAGCTGACTTGAAATTATTATTTCGAACAGGAGAGAGAGCAAGAAAACATACATTACCTGAGGAAAATTAGGTATATTGCATCTTTCTTATTTTTCTTCTTAAAAAGTTTTGATACAAGTAACTAGAAAAACTACTAAAGTCATATTTCAGATAAGGTAATGTTCAGTATAAACAAAGTAGTTTAAAAAAAGGCAACTGTGTTTACATTTAATGGAGGGAAAAAAAGTACTGAACATTCAAAACCCCACAGCCCTCGATATCTACATAAGCAATTCTATACTTAGCTTCCATCCCCCAATAAAAGACTAAGTCAGCCCTCCCCAAAATTACTTACTTGAGTATTGGTTATTTCTGGAGACAGCGTCTTACTAAGCTGTGGATACATTTCCAGTCTGATGTTTAAAATGCCAACAGAAACCTTCGATTCTGTACCTTTGAACCAACAAACGTATTAGCAAGTAAGCTTACTGGATTTGTGTTCATGGGATAAAATACTGCACCAAATCAAGCAAACCAAAAGCAGGCAATAGCGATAACGATCAGCAATAACTTATGTAGTATATCCAATCTTCAAAATATTCTGAAGGCGTAATATAATCTCTTTTGAAACTATCAAGAATCGCTCACCTACCTAACAAGTAGGGAAACTGCCACAAAGAATGCTCAAATGACTCATCAGCTACTACTTGACCAAACTCTGGGATAGCTAGCGTAGGAAGCCATGATAGACTGAGTTCTAGATCTAATCTTTATCTGCTAAATCATTATATCTTAAAAACTTGGCTTGGAACTACTAAAAATTGCTAAGCACCTAAAGAAAGCTGTTTAGCCGTCCCATCAGAAAACATGCTTCCAGCTGCTGGAATAAATGGCAACACAGCAGAGATCACTTTCTCCAACAGTTGCTAGTTTACTATGGAAGGGGCTCAAGCTAGATTTTACTCCTCAGTGCACTGGTCTGATATATTCCTGGAGATGAATTGGTTGATGTTTGTTTGGTTTCTTTTTGATAACTGATCCAGATTTTGCAGAAAATCGGTAGAGTTCACAGAAATGGGGACCATTATTACACAGGATCTGGAATATACATTTTTAATATTTTGTTAACAGAAAAATCTGACCATTAGCCTCCTACACATTTTCTAAGGATACTTTATAGTAATTTATGAGTTGAACTAATATTAAACTACATCACAAATACTGCTTTAAGCTTATAAGCAAGCTCAGTGCCCACTATTTTAAGTCATCATTACAACCTTATTATTTATCCTTACCTACACCCAGGAGTTCAACAGCAACATTTGTTATGCCATTCTCTGCAGCCAAGACAGATCGCCACTCCAAGAAATAGGATGCTACTAGCGTTGTCTCACCAAACGTGTCTGTTCTGATCAGAACCATATGCACTGGGTCGCATATAGATAACATAGTGGTTGCATCCACCATTTTACTTCCATCACCTGCCATTATTAAACCAAGATAAGATAGCAAGAATATTATCATGCCAAGTTCTCCTCAAAATTAAAAAAAAGTATGCTTTTACATTCATTGCATTTTAAGAAAAATCTCAAGTCCAGAAGTGTAAGCAATGATCCCATCTTAAAAATCAAACTCAGTTTAGGACAGAGCTACAGCAAGATTACAGTTAATTTACAGAGGAGATAAAGATTCCTTAGTTGAGTACTCCAATGTAACTGGTTCAACTGCACAAAAATTAAAATGGAATTAGCATTTAAGAAAATAAAGAGTATTAAAGCACCATTAAGTAAAAGCAATTGAAAAATACTCTTTTAATGAGTTGGAATGAGTCAGTTCAACTTACTGTGTATCAGTATTTAGGAAACAACTTTCTCTGTAGTTAAGCTTGACCCTATGATATAAACTGTTCCATGAGCAGCAGAATTAACAAAGCCTGGTTTTCTTTGAATTTGTGATATATTCACTCCCTTCCCTATGCCCAACTGCAATAACTCTGACTTTCTCTTTGTTGCCTGATATTCCATAAGTTAGCCTGGATTTCTACAGGATTCAGATAATATCCAGAAGTCTTTTCATAACATACTTAGCTCCTACCATGTTCCCTGGCTACTAACAGAAGAATGATTACTACAGGCTGTGGATGACTGACTCTTTTGCAGGCGTTTGCCAACCAGTAGGCAAAGTGAACTCACACTGAAGTTTTTCCTTCCATATGATGACAAATTTACATTTTCCTTCTTCACCTGTAAGCACGAAGTTCATGAAAATCACACCCACCTCAGTATTTCGTACCATCTCACTCTCAATTATGGATAAAGTTGGTCAAATTCAGAAGTTATTTTAGAGCGGAAAAGAAGAGGCAAGAGCAGAGAAGGATCTACAAGTGGCATAACCTAACACAGTCATCAGTTTCCTTAGGAAAACGTGATAGAAAATAGGAAAGCAAGCCACTGAATAGTATCGAACATATCTCACAATAACTCTAAAGTCAGGAAAAAACCCAATAGCATCAGCTTTAAACCCACAATATTCCTTACCTAGGCTATCCTTGTGTACTTCAAGTAAAAAACCATCACGAAAATCTGGCTCACAGGCACAAGGGACAGGTTTAGAACGGAAGCGCTGACTTCGAAAATGTAAACACAGAGTGAAGGTAGAAGAGATTTGGCCAGGCAGAGGCTCCGGTTCCTGAAGATGTTCCAGAAAAGCTTTTCCACCCAAAACCTGAAGGTAAAGATACCTCCGTGTTGGGTCAATGTTAGCTGTAAAGCGTAGCAATAAAAATGAAGAGACTACAAACAGATCTTAGAAAGCATGTTAAATATCAGTTAACTAACAGGAGACTAGAAAAAAATAAATTTTTTAAAAACAAATGCTTAGGAGAAAGTGATTTTAAGATGTATGGAAGTTATCTTAATGTAAAATAAATGAATTTTTTTTAAAAGTCACATTTTATGCAACACTAATTTCTGCTGCTTATATGAATTTACTTCCTGTAGATAAGCAGGAAAAACATCCATCTTTATGCCAGTTCACACTGGATGACTAATTTAGAGGTCAAAAATCATAGACTTCAAATTTCTCTCATAACAACGATCCAAATATTAAAATAAACAAGCAACATACTTTTTTTCAAAACTGGTGGTTCTCTGTCAACAAAATGCGTTGATGGTTTTGGAGCTGAAGTCGTCTCCTTTTCATTCACATCCTGGAATTACAATTAAGACTTCTTAAAACATAAAGGAATGCAACAGTGCTCATACCACAGTCTCCTAAAAATTAAAGAATCCTTCATTTCAGCTGAATGCCATTCCTCAGGTATGCTCCCTTCTAGTACTTGAGATGTAATGAAACTGAACAAGTACTTTCAACGCAGTATTAACGTTAAACCAATTTTAGCATATGCATTAAGCTGTTCTGTTCCTAATAAAATCAGTAAAGCCATCACAAACCTTTGGAAGTAGTGAGTTTTCTCTTTGTCAAAACACCAAGTCAGTAAGAGGAATAAGCAAAAATATATCACTCTTCAAAAGCTACTTACAGTTACAAATTTAAGTTCCTTCATAACATCATCAATGATTCCTCGTTGTCTTAAGGCTTTTATCAGATCTTCTGTTGATAACTGCTGAGGCTCAGGTGCTAACTCTTCACGTATAGTCTCAGCAAGAACTTCTCTTATCCTGCCATGGACATCCATCTGGAAGATAATTCAAAATATGCTACAAATACAAGCTCTTAAAATGGTAGCAGCTATGACTAAACAGTCATTCTGTAAGACTAAAGGTATTCTCCTAGGAGCACCAAAATATTAATCCTTTCAGAACTAATCAAACAAGTCACTATCTCACCAAAGCAGCTCTACCAGTTAAAAAAATCACAAGCATACCAAACCTGAGCATTTTCACCACTTTTGACAGCATCCCCTGCTTTGAACTTCCCTCCTTACAAAAAGGTCTCCAAATCTATCAATTATAAAATGGTCACTGTTTGAATGTCTTGTCTCACTCAAAATTCAAACTTGGGATAATAGCTTCTTCTTTTTCCAGGGAAAAAGTACACTTTTATATACTTGTAGGTAAGGCACAAAAGTAGTAAATCTCCCTTGCAAGCTTGCCCCATGCTCAAAGGGAAGTGAGAGAATTTCTGCCCTTCTTCTCAGCTGCATGGATTTGCAAAGCTGCATAAATTTGCATAGCTGTTTCTCACACAGGAAGGGTATTAAAGCTGCAGCGCTCGAAATACTCCGCGATATATGAGTTAAAGCATTCGTATTTATTTCCCTGTCAGTCCAACACCCAGCCCAAGAACCTCGCTCAAAAAGCAAAAAAACCCCAAAGGCCTCGGCCGCAGGGTGCTGACC